TAAAATAGTAGATTATTGGCTAAGCAGAGCAAACAGAGAATTGGAGAGTCTGAGAGTTGGAGAAGCATGGCTAGTGTTAAACAAGAATCTATGCTTCGATCTGACTTTGATGTCTGCCTTGCTTATGCTGTAGGCTAATTTACTCTGTTAATTTAGGTCTTATCAATTTCCTCTCTTTTCCTCTAACTGTAACAAGTGTATTTTGCCTTTTGTGATGGATTTTACAAAGAAAGACTTCTGCTCAGTGTTTGTCATCGTAAATTCTCATTGTTGCTGCTGCCCTCAAAAGGATTGTGTAAATGAGGTGGGTAAGAATTTCTAATAAAACAAAAGGTATATTGTAGCCATTGGGTGATATTTGAAGCAAGTATCAGTTAAAGTACTGAAATTGTTTACTTTAGAATGCTTTTTAAAATACTTGATGTTTTATGGTTTAGTTAACTTGCACTACATTTCTTATGAGGAGGAAAGAGGCTTTTCTCAATTCTGAATGGTTAGGAAGAGTTTTACTTTTATGAAAGGATACATAAATGTTACCCTAACACATTTGAAACCTAAGCTTTTAAGAAGCAAGTGCTGGCAGTTTTTAAGAGCTAGAATATTGAACCAGAGAATACCATATTACGACTCAGTTTTATTTTTCCCCAGATTAGTTGGCAAACCATAAGTATATAGAATTCAAAGAAAAATTGAATCTATAAAATCCATGTATTATGTGTTTTCCATTTTTCTTAGTTCAAATCAACATTTTACAAACATTTATATCAACTCCTGATGTACCTTTGGAGGGAGTCACAGTTGTTTTCTTTCTTTCTTTTTCTCTTTTTTGGCTCGAAAATTGCACAAAAGTGGCCTTTGTTTTTGTTTTAAGAGAATACATAATTTTTTTAAAACCCAGAAGTATCTTAAATTAGATATTCAAGAAGGTGTTCAAGAAGCGCTTTTGTTGAATGCAAGGAAACATGCTACTCTCCCCATCAAAAAAAACGTATCATGGCACTGTTGCCTAAAGAGAGATTCCTGTTAGTTACAAAAGTGAGCAAGAATATTTCTAGAGACAGTGGGGTTGCTGGGTGTAGAAGAATGGAGTGAGCGAGTGTTTCTCCTTAACCAAATTTTTCTTATGTGTAAAATATTTAATCTGCCAATTTATCTGCCTTAGTACTCTTTTTCTGTTTTGTGTTTTTAAACCTCATTCAGAAGAGGTGAGCAAAACTTTGCCTGTACTGGTCAGAACAGGACTAGACTAGTATTTAGTGAGGCTAAATCAGGTAGTAAAGAAAACGAATGACATTAGGAGGATTTTAAAGGCTCTAAGTTGTTTGTTTTGTTGAAGTATATGAACTACGGAGTAGAAAAGATGAAATCTTAGCAAAATATTTTTTCATCATTAGTTTTGCTCTGTCTGGTGCTTAAAACCATGTTTTAGAATAATCTAGACCATTTTTTTTTTATTTAAAAAAATATGTTACCAAAAATATTTTAAAATGCATTGAGTTCTGCCCATTTCTTCACTGGATCATATAAATAAATAAAATAATAAAAAATACATTGAGTTCTTTCATTTCTTAAGAAGCCTGTAAGTATGATAAATGTATCAAAACCTGTGCTTGTTTATTTCAAGCAACTTTCTATTATGTTTCCCAGATGACTTTTCTGTAGGTCACTTTCAGTGTTAAGTGAGGTTTCATGCTCATTTTTACATTTTGTGGGGTCATTTTCAATATATAATCCCCATATATTCTTCTCAAATGGTTCAGAACACTTCTGCTAGATATTTTGATAATCCTGGCCTCTTGATGGTAGCTGAGTGGTAGCTGAAATTTCTTCTATCTTTTTCATTATCTGTGTGGGTAACAGTAAGCTGAATTAATCTTTTAATACCAGCTGCTGGACTGGTAAGGTATGTCTCAGTTTTATTGGTTACCTTGGCACCTGCAATACATTTTTTAAGTTGGCAGTAGAAATCAGATTACCAATTATATAGCACTGTTACAGAACTTTCTATATTTGAATCTTGAATAGCTTAACCTAGTAAATTTAAGGTGTTATATTATGCACAGTTTCTGGTTTTACCAGTATGACCTTACATAGCTCGTTTGTTCAACTAATAATTCTATTTATAAATAGGAATTCCTATTTGTTTTTTTTTTTTAATTTTTTTTTTCAACGTTTTTTATTTATTTTGGGACAGAGAGAGACAGAGCATGAACGGGGGAGGGGCAGAGAGAGAGGGAGACATAGAATCGGAAACAGGCTCCAGGCTCTGAGCCATCAGCCCAGAGCCCGACGCGGGGCTCAAACTCACGGACCGGGAGATCGTGACCTGGCTGAAGTCGGACGCCTAACCGACTGCGCCACCCAGGCGCCCCGAGGAATTCCTATTTGTAAAGTAGTGAATGTTTATATGGGTAGGATTAGCAAGAGGATTATTTATTTTTAAGGATAACCACGGATGAAAGTAGGTTCACTCTACATCTTGGTGATTATTTTTCAAGAGAATTCTTTGCTTCCTTTTAACCCTAAGATTTATTATCTTTCGTGATTGCCTCTGAATTCAAAAGGGACCTTAGGTCAGCAAACTTAGTAATTCAAAGAGCTTGCAATCTAGATACCACATTTGATTCTAGCTGCCGTGAATGTAGGTTGGCAAGTTGGACAGGTACTGTCCCCATTTGCTAGATGAGGAATCTGAAATCATCATTCCAATATGCCTGTGCTAAATTGGAACAGAACTTTAATATAATCAATATATGTGTGTTTTATTAATATGTAGAGTTTTTACTATCAGGAGGCCAAAGTACATTCCCCTAAAATATATAATAGAATAAGAAGCATTTTTCCTAATTATATCTGTATTCTCTTTGACCACTTTCCTGTAATATTTGAATTGACTTTACATGCAAAGGCCAAGTATGTATTAGTGTCCAGTTTTACCAAAGAACATTCTTTTAGACAATTTTCTGCTGATAGTAAATGTTCTACAAACTTGATATACAGTATTTTAGGTTGTTCTTCCCATTGTATTTATAAATAACATCTTTAAGATTTGCTTTTATAGTTTTACATGTTTGTTGTAGAACATTAAAAACAAATATAACACAAAATCTCCAGTGTTTCCACTACCAGAGAACTTTCAGGGAGCATCATTCTTTTTTTTTTTTTTTTCCTCAAAATAGTTCCCATTTTCTTAAGCCCTTTAGTTTGAAATACCATACCAGCAACCTTTTGCTTCAGCAGCATTATTTTTCTTATTCTTATTTGAATTATTATATGAAGGCAAAGACAAGTTGGGAAAACTTACCTGGATTTGAAAAATAAGAAAATTAGGGAAAATAAAATAGTGATCTTTGTAGTCATTACTTAGAAATGAACCTTTTTGGGGCACCTTGGTGGCTCAGTCAGTTAACGACGTCAGCCCAGGTCGTGAATCTCACAGTTCATGGGTTTCGAGCCCCGTGTCGGGCTCTGTGCTGGCCACTCGGAGCCAGGAGCCTGCTTTGGATTCTGTGTCTCCCTCTCTCTCTGCCCCTCCCCTGCTCACACTTGCTCTCTCTCTGTCAAAAAAAAAAAGAAATGAACCTTTTAGGGGCGCCTGGGTGGCTCAGTCAGTTAAATGTCTGACTCTTGATTTGGGTTCAGATCATGATCTCGCAGTTTGGTGAGTTCGAGCCCCATGTTGGGCTCCATGCTGACAGCGCAGAGCCTGCTTGGGATTCTCTGTCTCCCTCTCTCTCTGCCCCTCCCCCACATGTGCTGTCGTCGTCTCTCTCAAAATAAATAAACTTAAAAAAATTTATTAAAAAAAAAAAATGAACCTTTTAAATACATGGGTTTAACTTTAGGGTCAGTCCTACTGACAGTTCCTTGCTGTGGAAAGTTAGCCCTAGAGGTAGAATCCTCCAAATCAGGAGTTTGAATAACACAGTTGAATAACTGATGAGAATTAGAGTTGATCCTTGATGCATGTTATTATAATCCATGCATTTCTGTGATTTGTCAGATTATTTTCACTAATTTTGTTTTAATTGATCTTGTCACTGAGACTATAGATGATTAAAATTTATATACTTTATTCTAACTTTTCTAGGACCTCTCCCTTCTATTTCTATATTCCTATTCCCTGTGTTTTATGTGTTTATGTGCCACTTGGACAGTATATCAGTGCAGCTACTTCAATCCACGTGGTTACTTAGATAAGGTGGGAATAGCAAATGAGGTGATTTTCTCCATATCACCTCTCAGTATTTTGTTATTCTTACATCTTATGTATATTTTCTATACATTGCTGAAATTTTTATTTGCAAACAATTTACATTTTATGAAGATTCTAAAATACCACTAGGATACTATATAGTATTACATATAATAGTAGTGAGTTTTCTTCAGAAAATAGTTAGAAATCTTGTCTTTTATATGGATCTGATATATCACTTTTCATTTTATGTTTCATATGTACCAGACAATTTGCTCTTCTGTTATCATGCCAAAACAATCCAAATCCTTAACTCCTGTACTCACTGAGTTTGTTGCAGAGTACTGTGATAATAGAATACCTGCCAAACTAAGCATGTGAATTCATGCCCATTCGTGGATTCACTGTTCAAAGTAGTTAAATACTATGTTGATTAATGTGTTAGGGAACAAGGCTGAACAAAAGATCTAACCAGTTAGAGCATTTGGCCTTCTTTTTAGCCAATAACTTCCTTTACCTGAAACACAGCCGAAGATGTTGACAGTAGCCTAAATTTTTCCCTAGCCACATATAGAGGCTATGGAAATAAGAAACCCCACTATCTGACTGTTCCTTGTTTTCTTGCCATGGTTAAATTGCCTCTACTTAGCTCTGACCCTGCAATGGACCAGCTCCTGCAGGCAAATCAGAAAAAAGCCAGGATGTAAGAAGGCAATCTAATAAAAGCTTAAGAGGCAATTCAAAATCAAAGTTCAAAGACCCTGCCATTATTAAATGTTTCTGTTGCTATTTTTATGTTTCTCAGGGAGTGAAGCCTGCCAGTTTTGACAAAGTAGCAATTCCTGAAGTGAAGGAAATTATTGAAGGATGCATAAGGCAAAACAAAGATGAAAGGTAAGTTGCCACTTTTAACTTAGGTATTGCATAAAAACCTAAAATGTAATGATATGTCTGAATACAATACTCAATCTAAAGTGTATTTAATATTTCACTTGTGATTAATTTCTCTATTTATGTCATGGAATATCTTTAAAATTAGCATTCTGGGTGTGCCTGGTTGGTTTATTTGGTAGAGCATGATACTCTTGATCTCAGTGAGTTCAAGCCCCACATTGGGTATAGAGATTACTTTAAAAAATAAAAATTTTTTAAAATCTTTAAAAAGTAGACTTCTGTCCATTTAAGGTAATATTGAGACTTGATGTACTGAAATGTTGTGAAAATGTAGTGTCATAGGGTTTAAGTAAACCAGAACCATCTTAAACTTAGCTGCTACATTCAGATACAACTACTTAACCTGTAGCGTCAGCATAATTTATAAAACTCAATAGGGTTCAGTCTCTTTCTAACCAGCAGATCTGTTTGTTAGTTCTTTACCCATTGAATTCTAAAAGGTGAAATAAAATCTTGGCTCTTGGAAATCAGCTCAACTATACAGGTCTTGATTTGCTGTCATTCTGCCAGAATTGAAGAGCAAAACATCAAAATTCCTTTCAGTAAAAAGAGACAAGTTTGCCCAAAGCTTAGGAGGAGATCTGGCTTAGTCATGTGTACTAACAGGACTTTTCTCAGAGGAGCGGCAAGTATCTGATACATCATACAGCTGATTCATAACCCGTCAGGCATGGCAAAGAGCCAGTGTCTGTTTATGAAAAATAATCTACCCTCACCATCCCCACTCACCTTCCAAAAAAGAAAAAGAAGACCAGTCAGTACAAATATAAATTGTAAGTTCAGCATAATCTATCTCCTTAAGAATGAGAGCAATCAGGTATATCATCCAAATTAAAGAATTCAGTATCTTCACTTCTCCAGTATCATTCTCTTTTCATAACTCTGTTGTTTGGAAGAGCTTAACATCATGATCTTTAAGACTGTCCAATAGAAATTTAGTTTGGATTTCTAATTGTATATACAGTGTTTGGAAAGGGGAGTCCTTAATCTTCTAAGAACTTTTTTTTTTACTATAAACAAAGGAGTATTTGTTTCCAGTCTTAAAACATATTGCTATTTCTTTTCTGGATGATACAGTTTACTAGATTACTGGTATTTTGAAACCATTTATCTAAAGAAGATTATTCCACAATCAGACTTTTTGCCTAGTACACAAATTGTTGAACAAGGAATTGAATTTATTGGGGTAAATAAAGTTGTAGTAGAAGGTAAAGAACTAGAAATCAAAAAACCTATTTTCAAATTTTGATTCAACCATTAAGCCTTCTAACTATGAGAAGATTTTCATCCTCTCTGAACCTCCATTTCCTAAAAATCAAAATAATACCTCACTGGCTGTTGGTGAAGGATTAGATGAGGAAATTTTGTTAACTATAAATTAACATATGAGGAATTTGTGTTAACTGTAAATTTCTTTAAAAAAAATTTTTTTTAACGTTTTTATTTTATTTTTGAGACAGAGACAGAGTATTAACAGGGGAGGGTCAGAGAGAGGGAGACACAGAATCTGAAACAGGCTCCAGGCTCTGAGCGGTCAGCACAGAGCCCGACGCGGGGCTTGAACTCACTGACCGAGAGATCATGACCTGAGCCAAACAAAGTCGGCCGCTTAACTGACTGAGCCACCCAGGCGCCCCTTAACTGTAAATTTCTACGTAAACTATGTGGTATTTTGAAGCTATGATATTCTGTGTATTATTTGCTGTTACTAGTACATTGTTAACTAATATGAGATTAGATCACTTCGATTAAAAAGTATCACTTTCAACTTTTATTTATAAATGAGACTGTTCTGATGTTCTGTAACTTGAGATCAAAACTATAATCACTATTTACACGGAGCATTGTAGAAATGAGTTATAAAATCTTTTTTTTTTTTAATAGTCCTTTTTTATTATTCCAAGCATGATAATAATCAGCCACACTTGAAAATTATGTTTTAGGGGCGCCTGGGTGGCGCAGTTGGTTAAGCTTCCGACTTCAGCCAGGTCACGATCTTGCGGTCCGGGAGTTCGAGCCCCGCATCAGGCTCTGGGCTGATGGCTCAGAGCCTGGAGCCTGTTTCCGATTCTGTGTCTCCCTCTCTCTCTGCCCCTCCCCCGTTCATGCTCTGTCTCTCTCTGTCCCAAAAATAAATAAACGTTGAAAAAAAAATTTTTTTTTAAAAAAAGAAAATTATGTTTTAAATCTAATGGTATTTTGTTTTGTTTTTGTTTCACTTCCCTCTCTTTGGTAGATATTCTATCAAAGACCTTTTGAACCATGCCTTCTTCCAGGAGGAAACAGGGGTACGGGTAGAATTAGCAGAAGAAGATGATGGAGAAAAGATAGCCATTAAATTATGGCTACGTATTGAAGACATTAAGAAACTAAAGGGAAAATACAAAGACAATGAAGCTATTGAGTTTTCCTTTGACTTGGAAAGAGATGTGCCAGAAGACGTTGCTCAAGAAATGGTAAATTAGCACTGATCTGCTATTTAAAAATTGATACAGACTTACAAACATTGGTATTGTTGAGCAAAAAAGTTTATGAAGCAGTGTGGATGGCAGATCTCATTGATACAAAATTGTATTGATTAATGGCCCCAAAGTTATTTTTATTTAAGGAAAAGATAAATAGATGTAGATATATAAGGATGGATGGATGGGTCTAAAATGTATTTTGAAGTAATGTGAAAGACTGTAAGGTCAAATGACTCCTAATCTAGATAAACCTATAGAGTTCAAATGACAGTTTATATTTTCTAAATATATAAATATTGATCAGTTATTGGGATAAACTCTGTAAATACACTGTGAATTGTTTTTACTTGAGGGAGTTTTCAAGATCAATTATTAGTAGACAGCCTTTGATCAATCACTTTTTGAATTATGTCTAAAATATAACTTTTCAGAAATGAAACACTTCACCAATTTTAGGGTTGCCATAGTGCCTAAAATAGTGAATATAAAGAGATACTCCTAGAATATCTCTACTAGAATTTATAAGAACCATTCAACAGAAAGGGTCAGGTATGAAAGAGATATTTATTTTAATTGTTAGTTTTTTTATACCATTAGAGATTTGTGTTTTTATTTGTTTTTTTTTTTGTTTTTTTTTTGTAACTTTCATTTATTTACCATGGTTGTTTCTGGTTAAGTTGTTGCCTAGCGAAACAAAGTTTAAAACAAGACAGATTAATATTAATAGTTAATGTGAGTGGGGAAATCGAGTGACTAGAATAAAATGAGCCTTATTTGGTTTAAAACCTTTGGTTTTAGGTTCCCCATTGTTTTGTTGTTATTAGGAGTAAAGGTACACCCACCCTGAGAGTTTCTACAAAGATGATGGCACCCACCCTATGAGTATCTACAAAAATGATGGAGAAATGCATAATGCAGACCAGTAATTTCACAATTTGGTTAAGACCAGTCCTTAGAGAGGTCTTTCTCTTCCCCCTTCTTCCTGCTTTTTTCCCCACACCTGCTTCTTTTGTTTTATATTTGGTTTGCTTTCTTTTGATATTGTACTGCTTCCTAACGCACTCCTTTATCCTGTAGGTAGAGTCTGGGTATGTCTGTGAAGGTGATCACAAGACCATGGCAAAAGCCATCAAAGATAGAGTATCATTAATTAAGAGAAAACGAGAACAGCGGCAGTTGGTACGGGAGGAACAAGAAAAAAGAAAGCAGGAAGAGATCAATCAGAAACACCAGGTAGAACAACAATCAAGTACTTCCCAGGCAGGAGTCAAACAGATCCCATCTGCTAGTACTGGCATGCCTCCTGCTTCTACCACATCAGCTTCAGTTTCTACACAAGTAGAACCTGAAGAACCTGAGGCAGATCAACATCAACAACTACAGTACCAACAAACTAGTATATCTGTGTTATGTAAGTATTTTGGGAAGTGGACAAGTATGCTAAGGATACTCCTAAGTGATTTTTCATCTTTTTACTCATCATTTTTCACTGGCCTCTTGGTTTGAATCATGAAGCCAATATATAATAAGAAATTTGAAGTAATTACCACTAACAGACTAGGACAGGACAGTAAGGAAATGTGATTAGGATATAAAATAATTTGGGGCTCCTGGGTGGTTCAGTCAGTTAAGCATCCGACTTCGGCTCAGGTCATGATCTCACGGTTGTGGGTTCAAGCTCTGCATCGGGCTCTGTGCTGACAGCTCAGAGCCTGGAGCCTGTTTCAGATTCTGTGTCTTCCTCTCTCTCTGCCCCTCCCCAACTCACGCTCTGTCTCCTTCTGTCTCAAAAATAAATAAACATTAAAAAAAAAAAAAAGGATATAAAATAATTTCACAGGTTCCAACATCTTAGAAGTTCCAGTTTATAGATTTCTACTTTTCACAATTCCTTAAAATAAAGTGTAATTATGAAACTAATATTACACTGTATGCTAACTGGAATTTAAATAAAAACTTTTTTTAAAACTTACATCTGCAAAAATAAATGAATAAAATGAAATATAACTAATAATGAAAAATGAATAAATTTATCTTAGCTATTTGTAATTGAATCCATTAATCTGGTTCAGCATTTTTAGCAAAGCTGAATAACATGTAGACTAGAAACTAATGCACCTCTTATTAGTTTTTGATTGAACTACCTCCTTAATACTAAGAATGCACTGCTCTCCAAGACTTTGAAAGCTTGGAAAGCTACATCATAAGACTTGGAAAGCTACATCAAACCTATGGCTGACTAATAGCATTCCATTTTAGTTCCCTTATTCTTCAGGTAATAAGATTCTATGACAGCCATGCAGTTTTTTTTTTTTTAAAGACATTAAAACTTTTTTCCATATGGATCCTTCATGTTTTTAAGCATAGAAATCTACTTAGTAAAATAACTAGTATTCATTTTTTATTTAGTTCAGGTCTTTACAAAGAAAAAACTAACCCTAGAGTAATGGGTTTGTGATGGGAAAATATAAACCTCCTTTTTGTGATGTGTGTCTCTCTGTGTTTTTTGGCAATTTATTTCTCCCTCAGCTGACGGGACGGTTGACAGTGGTCAAGGATCTTCTGTCTTCACAGAATCTCGAGTGAGCAGCCAACAGACAGTTTCATATGGGTCCCAACATGAACAGGCACATTCTACTGGCACAATCCCAGGGCATACAGCTTCTGTTGTCCAAGCACAATCTCAGCCTCATGGGGTATATCCATCCTCAAGTATGGTAAGTAACTGCATAAGAGAGTGTAAGCCTATAATGAGGGCCAGTAGATGTAATATGTTAATTTCAGATTCTTTCTGCTATCCAAGTAATAGCATGAGTTTGAAGTAGATAATATAGATGGTATGTTTCTAAAGGAAATAGGTTTATTATAGAGTACAATTGGAGTAGTTCAGTTAGGCTAGAACATAAACATTAATGTATGAGAATCAGCTGAACTTCCTAGGTGAAGAAACTATGTACAAGATTTAGACTAATCTGTATTTGATTAAAGATAATGCCCTCTTTAGTACTTTAGAGTTGAAACTGTTCAAATCAGCATAAGTTGGACATACAAATGATTTGAGGGTGGGTGTGTGGAGTGTTTTTCAAAAGCTTACTTACTAAAAGAATTACTAAGCATTTTTTATAAGATTTCTTATTGTATAAAACACAGGTAAGACATTCAAACCATTATAGAATGCTGCATGTGAGTACTTTAGAGTGAAGAAATCCTTTATTTGTATGACCATTTAATTTAGCGCTTGTGTTTAGTTAACCATCAGTTGCTATGCGTGTTCCTGCCTTAAAGTCTGTGTTGGACACAAATTCCTTCCCCAGTATACGTTCATTTGCTTTTTCTCTTTATTTGGTATGGTTTTATTACAGATTTATTTTCAGAATCCACTTATGGAGATTATTTCCTGAAATATTTTATGCATTTATATGTAAACACAGATACACACACACTGCCCCATGTTTTACATTAGCCACTCTTGCTTTTCATATAGAAAATGTTAAAATAGGTATCAGGTAATACCCCATTTCTTTTGTTGACCCTCTGTGAAGTCTTCAGTGCTAAATAAAGTACATCATCTGCTTCAGGAAGGAATTAGAGAATAACTGGTCATTGTATAGCACTTGTGTAGTGAGATCTTTAGACAGATTTTTTTTTTCTCTTTCTCAGAAAGCTTTTAAATCAGAATTTTGTGGAACTTCTGCTCGACATTAAATGAAAATCTTTCTCTGTTAAGAAAATACTTTTGCTTGCTCTGCTCTTTTGTCCTACAGCTTGGAATAAAAGACGTTTGTATGTTTCAGAGTCCATTCATGAGTCCTGCATTGGCTAAGTCTCAAGATGAATGGCCACAGTAACGCAAAGAAAACTAATACACTAATGTTTTCTACTTTTCTGACCTTTAAAATAATTAAGTAGGGTAGAAGAACTTACAGAGACTATATAGATGTATTTCCGTGTTCTGACAAATATTATTTGTCAGCATTTCTTGTTCGTTTCTACTCTTGTTCTGGTTGATTTTTTTGTGGATCATCACAACTAGATTTCTTTTTAACTATTTTTAATCTCTTTGCTTCCCTCATCACAGGGTAATGAACGTTAGGCGTCTCTATTTTAGAAAAGGAGATAGAATGATCATTTATGATTTTAAATATTTGAGCCACAAAGATAGTTATATTTATTTATTGATGCTCTAAAAGCAGACTGTTAATGACAGCCTTGCCTTTTAATGACAGTATTCTGTGAAGATATATCATGAAGAGTCATCAAATATTGAGGATTTTTTAAATCTTATGATTCTTTTTCTTTCTTAATGCAGAAAGAATTTACTATGGCTTACAATAATATATCACTTATATGTGCAATAAAAAAATTAGAATAAAAGGGAAACGGGTGGAAAAAAAATAGAACCAGGAATGAACTAAGTATGATAAGTATGATGATGCTTAAGTACTTACTACTGGTAGGCCACAAATTTCGTTCAAAGCATTCTGTGCAGCCAGTTTTGGAAAAGAAAACACAATCAACTATACAGTTCACAATACCTAAAGGGAAATGACAAACTTGCTCAGGACAACTTTAACAGTATTAGGCATACTACTTTTCAGCTGTATTAAAGTTTTTATGTTGAGACGCTTCAAACTTTATAAACCTAAGTTGAATCTCTGATACGCCAGAAAACTCTTAAAGTTTTACTCTTCAGAGACTCACATTTAAGGTATTTTTCCATTGACTACTTTGGTAAAACTACAGAATGTGTCTATGTCGTGAATTACTTCTAGAAAACTAATGCTTTTCCTGTTAGAAAATGAGTTTTTACTCTTTACAGATAAAGATAGGAAATGTAATAAATAAAATACTCTGAGACAACAATTTTTTTTAGTCTGATCCCTTCTAAATAGAACTGAGAAACCTCTGAAATTTCCAGAGTTCCGGCAAAGTAATCTAGTCTTAAAGTCTTCTACACATTATAATGTACATTAAACTAACAGAATTAATTCTTTCTTAATCTTAATAAGTTTTAAAAAAACTGTAAGCCAGTATTCATTGTATTCCCTATCTATTCTACTACCTCAGTCAGTTGGCTCTTCTTATTCATACATTCATAACAATTGATGTAATTTCAGAATATTTAGGAAGATAATTGATCATTATCATGGTGGTTCATAAAAAGCCTGTATGTAGCCAACAGTGTAGAGAGCATAGTTGTGATCTGCCAGGTGTGCTTTGTGGAATTATGCCTCTCCACAAAAAAATTGGATTTGCTGGATTGGGGGAGGATGGACAGTTCTTTAGGTCAGCTATGCCCTATTATCATTGTACATTTGGTTATTTTTTTTTTTCAAAGTATTGTGTTTTTCATGTGTGTGTTTGTTTTCTGTTTAGCCTCGTCGTGGCCGTAGCATGTCGGTTTGTGTTCCCCATCTTTCTGCTGTTCCCTCTCTGTCCCGCATCTCTCCCAGTGCTCCTTCCACCCCACCACCAGTGCTGTCTGCATCTCTTTCTCCTTCCCTCCTTCGGATTGCCCCTGAGGAAACTTTTGCCGAAAAGCTTTCTAAAGCATTGGAGAGTGTCCTGCCTATGCACTCTGCCTCTCAGCGCAAGCACCGACGCTCCAGCCTGCCTTCCCTCTTTGTCAGTACTGTATGTAACTGTAAACTTCCTGACAAATGAAAATTTATTACCAATGAATACATCCAGGCATCAAGAATTTTAATAAAAATTAGATAAATAAAAAGGACTACACTTATGCTTTCAGGATACCAGTTCTTCCTATAGGAAACTTTTTTGTTACAGGCTTTAAGGGGGAAAAAAGCAAGAAGGTAATGAGAGAGAATGCTTATAGTGCCCTGGACACATATCAATGTGCACACAATAAAATTTAGTTTTTATTATATTCTCCTATCCCTAACTGACCTATACGAATCCTTGCATTTTCACATATTAATATAAAGAATATGTATTACTTCATTTTAAATTCATTGATTTAACCAAAAGCAAGTTTTCTCTTTATCAAAAAAGTAACTCAAATACATTTTCTCTTCACGTCATTCTAAAGAGACACTAATGAAGCTGAATGAGTCCATTTTTTCCCCCATAGCAAAGAGTAATTGAAGACTGAAAGTTGCTTTTAATTCTTAGCGGTTTAAAGTGATGGTGTTGGCAAACTAAAACATATGTTCCCTCGTGGAAATTTGTCTCTTAGATTGATCAAATAAGGTGGGATCTTGACTCTAATGAATACATTATTTTTTGGAGGGTGCAAAAATGGTAGTTTTATTAAAGCACAAAAACAGGACTCGTGGGCAGAAAGAGCTGCTGCGACCCTAGTGAATACATTAGATACACATGTAGTATGTAAGATTTTCTTTGGCCCCATTTGTATCTATAAAAGATCTGTCTCTTAAAGTTGTGTTAAACACTGTGGGACCTTGCTGCTGCTTTTCCAGATAGAGAATATAGTTAACATTCTGATCTAGCAATATCAAAATATTCAGATTTGTACTTAGGAGAATGATTAGCCATATATATGTTATGGCTTTGGGATACTCCTTGAATAAACAGTAAAATGAAGCATTCTGGTCTGAAATAGAAGCCCTCTTTTAGCTGTTGTGAAGAAGCAACAGTTGAGCCATTTTGCTAACTTGATGGGGACTATCCCTACTGAAAGAATGAAATTAATCTACTCTTTTTAAGAAGAGTCCATAAAAGTGAATTATTACAGTGTACACTGTTTGCATTTGGCTAGGTAGGATTCTAAAATTATAGAGTCTTATGACTGTAACTGCATATGTGAATAAAAAAGTGCTGTTAAGTCTGTTATTTATATTATCCTTTTCACTTGATTTGAACACTAAATTATTCACCCCTTAACTAGGATCAGAGAAGTGGACATTCAGCAATTTGACATCTGTAACATGTTTCGTGTAGTAAAATTAACTGCATCTAGTTTAAGATAGGTGGGGGGAAGGTATTTCTGTCAGTAGTCCATAGTGTGTCTTTTACTGTCCACCAAAAATACTTCTTTTGATTTCTAGTTAGATGACATACTGTTAGTTGATAATAACACTGAAGCCTCTAACAGCACAGGATAATAATATAGAATATAGGAAAACTTTGTATAGCAGATTAAATTGAAGTACCTTTCTTATATCTTAAAAATGTTGAGCTTACTGTCTTCCCTTAACTCTTACTATTTTAATTCTTTTTCCACTGATTTAAATATACATTAAGTCTTAAGAGTGAGAATATTAATTGGGGGTAAAAACAGAATAAACACTTAGAAAACTCTTCCATTTCCTTTGAGAGAAGATGTTGTGGAAAAGCAGCTCTTATCTAACGCAAAGAATCCCACAGAATAACTTTATTGACCCTGGATGTATTTAATGGATTTTTACTATGCACATAATTTCCAAAAGCATTGTTATTTCTTTATTAATTATAAATTTTGTGTAACCGTTTCATAGGGTTACACAGAGCTACCCAGTTTTGCATGTCTAATGTAATTTCACATATGAATGTATGAATTACTTGTCTTATTCATGTTGATACAGCCTCAGTCCATGGCGCATCCGTGTGGGGGGACCCCAACATACCCAGAATCACAGATATTTTTCCCAACTATTCATGAACGTCCAGTTTCTTTTTCACCACCTCCCACCTGTCCACCGAAGGTGGCCATTTCCCAGCGGCGTAAGAGCACCTCCTTCTTGGAAGCCCAAACTCGCCACTTCCAACCCCTGCTGAGGACTGTTGGCCAAAATCTTCTTCCACCTGGTGGCAGCCCAACTAACTGGACACCAGAGGCCGTAGTTATGTTGGGCACTACAGCCAGTAGAATAACTGGAGAGCCATGTGAGATACAGGTCCATCCTATGTTTGAACCAACTCAAGTTCACGGTGACTATAGACCTGGACTAGTACTTCCAGAAGAAGCTCACTATTTTATTCCTCAGGAACCAGTGTATCTAGCTTACCAGGCCCAGGTGACAGAACAGTATGAGGGTATTCCATACAACTCACCAGTACTGTCAAGTCCTATGAAACAGATACCTGAACAGAAGCCAGTACCAGGGGGCCCTACCTCAAGTTCTGTCTTTGAATTTCCATCTGGACAGGCTTTCCTGGTAGGACACCTTCAGAATTTAAGATTAGATTCTGGATTGAGTCCAGGATCTCCCCTCTCTAGTATTTCTGCACCTATCAGTACAGATGCTACACGTTTGAAATTTCACCCTGTCTTTGTTCCTCATTCTGCGCCCGCTGTGTTAACTCATAACAATGAGAGCAGAAGCAATTGTGTATTTGAGTTTCATGTTCACACTCCAAGCTCCTCTTCGGGAGAAGGAGGAGGAGTCTTGCCTCAGCGTGTTTACCGAAATCGACAGGTTGCAGTGGACTTGAATCAGGAAGAACCACCTCCTCAATCAGTTGGATTACATGGCCGCCTACAGCCTGTGACTGAAGAACAGCGTAATTACCATGCCCCAGAATTGACCGTTTCTGTGGTAGAGCCTATCGGACAGAACTGGCCAATAGGAAGCCCAGAATATTCCAGTGATTCCTCACAAATTACTTCTTCAGACCCCAGTGATTTTCAATCACCTCCCCCTACAGGGGGAGCAGCTGCACCTTTTGGCTCTGACGTCTCATTACCCTTTATCCGTCTGCCTCAGACAGTGTTACAAGAATCCCCACTTTTCTTCTGTTTCCCCCAAGGAACCACATCTCAGCAGGTTTTATCTGCCTCATTTTCTTCAGGAGGATCTGCACTCCATCCACAGGTTATAGGAAAACTTCCACGATTCTTTTAAACTACCCTACTGTGCATCATTACATTTAAGTTTTCTATCCCTCCTTTCCATTTATGTGGATTATTTTTAATTTTATTCGTAATATTAGTATTTCTCCTTTTGGGGGGATTATAAACTACTTGTATATAAGAACAAAGTATGAGAGAGAAGCTGCCTCATTTACCTATAATATGTGCAAACCCTTGAAAAAGAGAACACAAAAACTAGAACTTTAGTCACTCGTCAAAATCAGTTACTTCTATCCATATGTAGAATAATTTCAATTTGTAGTGAGAATGTAACTGTCTATCATGTAAAGTTGACTCATCGTTGATTATTTATAAATATTAATATGAAGTATTTCTCTCTCCCTAGAAACAAACATGGCTAGTTTTTGGTTTTTTTTTTTTTTTTAATAGGTTTTTTTTCTGTAAAATGAAAAGAATGGAAAATAAGGAGTTTTTTAAAGAGTATTAAGAATACACAAAATTTTGATTAGTTTGGAGGAATCTTAAAAGAGAAAAGAAACATCTTAAGAATTTAGGAACAAATGAAAATGCCTTTTAAAATGGCATCATTTGAACAAGTCACTGTGTATTATATGTCCAAATAAAATGCTAATCCATAAAATTGATTCTAATTTTTAACAACAAAATTGTAATCTAGTGTGGGTGGTAGGATTTTTTTTGTTTTTAAGAATTTGTGATAGATGTTGCAAGCTGAGAAACAGATATCTCAGGCCTTGGTTGTTTCCTCAACAAATTAAATTTTGTTATTTATGGGTATGGGCATATGTACTCTCGCAAATAAAGACAAAGTAATGGACATAACAGAATTCAAGTGGAGTCAGTATTAATTTTCATATATTCCTTTGATATATTTTATCAAATGTATAAGTCTTATAAAATCTATATAGGAGACTTTTCAATTATATATTCAAGGCATTGCTTGGATCTTTTTTTTTTTT